CCGCACCCTCAACGAAGACCCCATCACTCTCCTTTCCAGTTTACCCACCCATCAGCATCGGGATGCAGAGATCTTCTCATGTATTCTCTCTAGAGAGCTGACGCATCGAGACTTGACTATGTAGAAAGCTGGGAGCGAGAGAGCGGGTACGGAAACGTTCTTCCGTATGAAGAGAGGAGACGTTCAGTTCACAAGCGCCGGAAGTGGCATCACGCACTTGGAGACGAATGAGTACAAACATCATTTGTGCCACTTTTTGACTCTGGGTGTTGCCATGAGAGAAAGGCTTGCACTCTGGATATCATCATAAAGATTTTCCGAGGAAGAGAAGAGGAAGGGGTTCGTGATGATCACCAGTCCCCTAAAAGACCGGAAAGAAGCGTCGAATGAACAGCAGACGAGAGCGGAGCCAGCTGTGGAAAACACAATTCGAATCCATGCAGATTTCCTGTTCGCTACTAGTGTCATTGCACCGGGCATCATCTTGGTCTGGAGCGTTGGGGGCGATGACGCTGTTAAAGCAAAGACTGATAGCAAATTTTATGTTTATCTGCCACGAATGAAAAGTGGAAGAGCGAAGATTCGACTAAACGGAGATGAGTGGCCGCTGTCCGAAAGGGATGGGACCTTCGTTCCTGACGTGGATGCGGGAGACAAACGCTTCTTCGAGTCGTTTGGCTGTGAGGAAGCGGAAGTTGCAACATTGGATGCAAGCCCAGCTAGATAGCTCGGGCACCTCATTCAATGCCTTCCACAGCCTGTCTCTGCTTGTATTTGATGTGATGACCAAGTGATGCTCTAGGTCAAGGTCGCCGTACAGCTAGCTCGTGAACGAAGTCCACGGATTATATAGATAAAACTTAATGTAATTCCGAGGCTGTCAAGTCTCCTTAACATTTTCTTGGTCCCCTCCCCTTGTCCCCTCAGCCATTTCCTTCGCATTCTGAATCTCCCACTCAAACTCTTTCAGAGCTCTGAGTTCAGAGCCGATGAACAGGCCTCCAATCAGGCCGTCTAATACACCTGCTCCGAAGCCAAGGGTGCTAAGGAGGATCAGAAGAAATGCTACAAAAGGGCGTGGCGACCACCAGACGGCAGTGAAGCAGCCAACGGCAACAACGATAGAGACCCCGAAATTCGAGAGGCGGAAGTGGCGCTGATGGCGCTCACGGCGGGCGTAAGTTTCGATCATAGAAAGGATTATGTCGTACGTTGGAATGGACAGAGAATCAATGTCTATCTGTTGAGATGTATAAAACCCAGAACCCGCGTGGCTAGTACTGAGAGAAAGGTCTGCTGGTTGTTCCCGTCGTGAAAGAGTAGCCTCAACAGAGAAGTGGTCACTCAGTGAGCAGCCGATCAGAGGATGACGGTCGGTCATGCCAACCTTGATGTCTTGAACGTGCCATTTGTTATTACTGGGCGAACGTAGATAGTCACTATCGCCAATGAATATATAATCAAGTCGTTTCGCTCGTGGATCTTGAGTAGTATCATCGACGATAATGTTATCACCTCTGTATTGCCTTTTCTGCAGCTCTTTGCTCCACCGCCATGTATTGAGAACACTATCGCAAGTGGCCCCATTCTCGGACAGGTTGTAATTGGCGGTTGGAATCCCGCGTCCTCTCCTCCGTTCGAGATTGTCATTTGCGGACCCGATTGAAGATTCTGGGTGCAATACTCTCCAAGCATCTCGAACGGAACCATAACCACTGATCAGCTGATGGGCAAACGAGAGAGGCACCATGTTGAAATCTCCTAGTCCCAATACTAAATGACCTCTTTCCGCAGCACCGCGCATAAGCTTCGCGACCTCCCAGGCCTGGGCTGTGCGGTGACATAGATAAGAATCATTTGGTTCACTCTCGTAAGGTGCATGCAGATGTGTGCAAAAAACTTCTGCTACGTCTTCCAGACGAGGACCTAATCTGATTCTGGCACACGCAACTCCTTTGCCAACGAACCAATCCCCGCGGAAAAATGCGGTAGGACGTCCATTCAGAGGATATCGAACCATACTCGATTCCTCGATTGGCCATTTCGACAGAATGGCAAGGCCGCCACCGAATATGCCACTGTAATAATATTTGCCATACGGGAGAATATGCTTGGTCTGCGTTCGAATACTTTGATAGTCTTCTTGGGTCCAGCATTCTTGCAAACCAACAATCTCGGGGATTGGGCTGGCAAGAGCAAGCCTTCGTCCAATTTCGGCCAGTCGTTCCCTGCGATAGTGGGAGATGTACTTGAGGCCCAAACAGTTGTAGGAGATGACATTCAATGTATTTGGAGCCTCAGAGAAAGCAGCCATAATTGCTGAAGGCCGCTTGGCTTTCTCTTCTGCTCTTAGGGGTTGTCCGGGATATAATGGATGAATGTCACAGACTCACGAACCAAATCTCGATGACTAACATCATCAAAACGAAGGGAGAAGATTGGCAATAACGTGCGATTCTCCAAATACTCTTGATACTTCTCGTGGACCAGCCTCAGTTTGTAGTAGATCAGGTTGGAAATGGTCTCTGGTCTGAAAACAGTAGCCTGCTCAAAGTAACGAGAGAATACAGCGAACACAGTGAATTTATATCATTATTACTATTATTACTACTGTAAATATATTACACCAGAGGTATGTAAGATGAAGAGGGGGAAAATTCTGTAATCTTCATCTGTTCCTTCTTTGATACGCGTTTACCGACGCGGGAGGCGCGCTACTTTTCACGCTTTTGAGACTTGGAACTTTGGATGTTGGGGAGCTGATCCAGAGGTGAAGTCACATACTCAATAGACTCATTGGCTTCCAAAAAAGCCAATCATGCCGTCCACTCGCTATTCCAAAAGACGTCGCGTTAGCAGCCCGGCCAAGGAAGAACCACCGGCGTATAACAGTTCCCCAGACGAATTGGCCGCCAGTTCGGATCATGAGAAATATCACTCTCATCGGGCGCCATCCAAACCTCTGCGAGAGGGCAGAGGGAGAAAACGAAGCTACGCGGACATCTATTCGGCTAATTCTACTGCGGTTGCCTCTGAAGACAGCCACAGCGAGCTGGCCGGCCCTCCTCGTGCGTCTGAGGAAATTCCAAACGTTTTAATTACTGCTGCTGCGTCTGGTGAGGACAGCCCTGACGAGCTAGATCACACGACACCTACCTTCTTTCGCCGTCCTTTCCGTGCCAGCTTCAGCAAAGAGTCAAGACGGCCGCATGAGAAGTTTACCAGCCAAAGCCCTAGCCCTCCACCGTACTCCAGACTCAGCTCACCAATCGCCACACCTCGCACTCCTCTCATTCGCCCGCCACAATATGAACCATACAAGGAGAAGCTGGTATTGAAGGGGCACCGAAAAGGCGTAGCTGCGGTTCGATTCTCTCCTGATGGACGTTTGATAGCAAGCTGCTGTAAGCTCAAAAGTCTACCAGTCTATTTCATCAGCTCCAGCTGACCCTACCAGCGGCTGACGCAACCATCAGGATCTGGGAAACCGCCACGGGCAAACATCTGCACACTTTAGAGGGCCATCTCGCCGGCATCTCGACCATAGCCTGGTCTCCAGATAGCAAGACGCTTGCGTCGGGCTCCGACGACAAGTCCATACGATTATGGGATGTTTCTACTGTAAGACCGTGAATTTAGTACCATTGCTCTCTATCAGAAATATTGACTCGCTGCACAGGGCAAAGCACACCCTCATCTCCTGCTTTCCCATTCCTCCTACATCTACGCTCTCTCTTTCTCCCCACGCGGCAACATGCTTGCCTCGGGCAGCTACGACGAAGCTTTATTCCTCTGGGACGTACGAACCACGCGTCTCATGCGCTCTTTACCTGCGCATTCTGACCCCATCGGCGGCGTTGACTTTGTCCGCGACGGTACGCTCATAGTTTCCTGCGCCGGAGATGGATTAATCAGAGTGTGGGATACAGCTACAGGACAGTGTCTCAGGACGCTCGTGCACGAAGACAACGCCGCAGTTACGGGCGTCAGGTTCAGCCCGAATGGCAAGTTCGTTCTAGCCTGGACCTTAGATGGTTGTGTCCGACTCTGGAACTACGTTGAAGGTCGTTGTGTTAAAACCTACCAAGGTCACACAAATTCGAAGTACAGCATTGGCGGCGCATTTGGCGTTTATGGCGGCGAGGACGGCGTGGAGCAAAGAGCTTGTGTTGTGAGCGGAAGCGAAGACGGAAATATACTTTGTTGGGATGTACAGAGTAAAGACACTCTGCAGATAATCAAAGGGCACCAGGGGGTGGTGCTTGGGGTGGACACCCTGAACAAAGAAGGACTGATAGTGAGTGGAGGTATTGATAAGACCGTGAGAGTTTGGGAGAGGGTTAGAGAAGGCGCTGGGGACTCTGCAGATCCAGTGGGTGCTGCGATTGGCGCTCTCAAGGTATGTGAACAAGAGGCAGCTGGGATGGCATGAAGATGGAAAGTATGAGTGGAATATTATTGGACGAGGTTGGATCAAGTATTGCTCTAGAGAATCTCGCATGACATTTTCGCTGTGCCTTTGGTGAAAAGGCCAGACAATCGGAGGATACTCTCCGTCATTTGAACGGTATTCTGTGTTGTAAAAGATGCAAAGTGTGCTCGTCGTACAAGAAACACGGTGGGAACAATCTGCTTATCGGGTGATGTTACATTCGGACCACCACGTTTGAAGCTTGCTTCTGCTTCTGGGGGCAAACAGGATGGCGGTTTCGTGTAGCAGCAGAGGAAATAAGGGGGTGTGTTGAATAGTGGGGAGGCCTGATCTCTACACAACAGGTGGTGATTCTGTAGTTGTACGGCTTGCACGGCTGAGTGTGCAATTCTCTTTTTATTGCTTCGGATTCACATTTGTTTGACAGGCATCATGCACGCGTCTCTCCTTTAGAGTATACACAACAAAAACCCATTCATACAAGAAATTGCTTCCCTTCGTCTGCGAACACTCCAAACCGCCTCTAACCAAACCGCCGACAGGCACGTCCTGGATGCTTTATAATTGATCAGCTCGACATGTAAGTCGAACCCGTCCCCACCTCAACAACGCTACTGGGGCTGTTCAATCCGTTCCAGGCGTAACGATCCACGCCGTTGGATGGATCATCTAGCCACTCAAGAAAGGTAGTGAGCGTGTCGAAAGCCGCGTCTTCAGGACCTCCCTCCGTGATCCAGAGCTCAGCAATGCCGTATTGCTTCCGGAGCCTCTGGTACTCAGCCACCGTAGCTGCGAGACTTTGAGGATTGTCCGAGCCATTCAATCCTTCCTGGGTGCCCGGTCCATACCAGTGACAACAGATGGCATCGAAGCTGTTCGAAGGGAACTGTGCTAAGAAACTTGCCATATAGTCACTACCGATACCGGACGAGCCAATATTGTTCTGAGTGCATGGTGTTGTCACTTTGGTGCCCCCCGTTCTCAATGGTGCAATGTGTGCAGTGTGAGCAGCAGCTGCTTCTTGGTAGGTTAGACATGAGCCTCCACCGTCACATCTTTCTGGCTCATTGAAAGCTATGACCCATGGTGTTTTGGCGTTGGTTTGCCAGGCGGCTAGATGGGTTGCGTCCGTGCCCCACAGTTGGGCAACGTATTCGACTTTGCCGCTTCCACTCGCCGGTCCAGAGCCTGTGGCTGGCGAGGAGTCCCAGTTGGTCATCCAACCACAGGCGTCATTGACAGCGGCGTTAGCTTGGGCAAGGGATTCGTCCGGGGACAATTGCTTGTTATTGTAGCTGTAAAGGAGACCGCGAGCTTTGACACCGGTGCTGCCAGTGCCAGTAGAAGGTGAGCTGGCAGGGGCGGACGGGACGGTAGAGACTGAAGAGGATGAAGCAGGAGCCGGTGCAGCAGGAACGGAGGGGGCGGTGGAGACGGAAGAGGATGAAGGAGGTGAAGCAGGAGCCGGTACAGGAGGAAAATGAGGGGTTGCGGCAGGTGGGTGATAGTCTGCTTTTACAGCCACTGGGGACGAAGTGGTCGCTGCGATCCCGGCCTCGACAGGGGTTGCGGGAACAAAGACCTGGCCGTCCGATGCTTCTTGTACTATTTTAGGGCTAGCGGAAGAACTGGCCGAAGACGATGATGGAGGGGTGGGCGCGACATAACTTGTCAAAAGGCTGCCCGAGCCAGTGGGTCCAATTGGGATGCTGCTGTTGTACATGGGGTAAGGTACGACCGACGATTGGACTGGGGCGGAAGATTGGGGGGATTCAATCGGACTCGGGCTGGGGCTGGCTTGAACTGTGACAGTGACCGTGTTGGCCGTCGTGACGGTGACTGTGGCAGGTCCACATGGATTTCCAGCCTGGCCAGGTCCACCTGGTGCACCAGATGGAGATCCTGGAGAGCCAGATTGCCCAGAGCCTCCGGCAGCTCCAGTCGTAGCTGGGGACTGGCCTGCTACAGGGGCGGAGCTAGTCAATGGTACAGGGATGAGGTTGATGGTTGATTTGATGGTCACCATACCGGTGCCAGTAGCCGTGGCACCACCAGCTGTCGAGTTTTCAGCTGGGAAAGGAGCACCTCCGGAGCCCTTGGGAGGGAAAGGAGCTTGACCAGACTGGAATGGTCCACCAGTCGGATGTGGCCAGCCGCCTGAAGGCTTGCTTCCTTTATGAGGTCCGTGATACATGGAGCCATGCTGTGGAATAGCCAGAACGGCAGGAAGAAGAGCGGCCAGAAGGGCGATATTTAGGACTGCCATGGCGACAGATGATCGGATTGCGCGTATTTGTGATTTGATTGAGAGGCAAGTTTGAAGAGATTTGGGAATGGATATTTGCTGACGAAGTATTTGTGTTGTTGATTTGGAACACTATTGAAGCCGACCAGGGCTGTAAAGAGCGTGTGATGGTCAACGATGGACCGAATGAATGTAACGAGCGAGTGCTCTATCAACGAGTGACTATGTGATAAGAATGTCAAGGACAGCGACAGCGTGGTGAAGGAAGAAGAAAGAAAGAAGAACGGAAAGAAGGAAAAGCAGCCTTTTTTTTTCTTTTTTCAGGGGAGGGAAGTTTACAAGCTAACTGTACGAGTATGCTGGGAGGGGGGATCAGCCAATCTCCGGGCTTTAACTAGCACTTGCTGGTCCGTCCTGTATTTACAGTACTAGCAGATCCATGCAGAACATGGCATATACCTACTGTACATAAGAATTGTGGGGCCATATGCAATAATAATGCAGGTACCGTACCCTAATCTCTCTCCGTCGGAAACCCTTGCTAGACGTCTTCATTATTGATTAAGTATTTATTATGGTGAAACGGGGAGGGCAAATCAGACAGAAGCTGGAAGCGACATTATTTCATTCGCTGAGGCGTAAGGTAAGGTATTGATTGCATCAAGACCTTAGACCAGGCAGACGAATCAAGGTCTCCTCCTCTGGAAGAATGAGAGGATGATAGAATGAGAGAAGTGTATACTTACTGACGATGATGCCGAAGGAAAGAGAGCCCCGAGCTTGCCGGGATGGTCCCTCGGTCTCAGGGGAAGGTACATCATACTTTACAAGTGAGGTACATGTAAAGTACGAATTAAACTACTTGAAGGCAGGATTCCCCGATCTATCCGGAGCTACACAGAAGCTAAGGTTTCACGACAACCTAACCTACCTTAAATACAAGCTACTTTAGAGTAAAGCTCTAGAGGTAAAGTACCGTATCTCAAGAGCCATCACACCTCCTAAAAGAAATCACACATCTCGCGGCGGCAACAGTAGCAATCATTTATCGAGCTATCGCAAAAACAAATATACCTATCATCTTTTCATACATGTAGCTTGGAAACCCCCCCCCCAAAAAGCAGGCGCAGAGCGTCAGAACGTCCGGCCTCTCATTCGGCTAGATCCTGTCTGGGGCCAAATTAATGTCATCCTTCCAGGTATCGGGTCATCATCTCATCTTTTATATAGAATGCCTAGTCACTGTAACCTACTTCGCCTGTTTTCCAATTTGCGGCGAGGAGATCAAGTCATTAATGGTCCATTGACCCTTTCACGGCGAAGCCTTCTCGGTTTCAGAACGGCCACAATGATCCCAGGAGTCGGTGCCAAAATATAGCCATTTCAATGCTCGAACTCAAAGGGTTTGCTTCCCCCTATCAAGTCCAATCGACAAAATTACTTCCGGGACCAGACCTGTTTATGTCTGTCACCTCGATAGAACAAGTCTGTAGGCGAAAGCAGTCACGGAGACCCTCGTCCACCGGGGTATTTCAAGGAATGCCTTCAATGCCTTCATACCCTTTTTCCCTTTCTTCCCTTTTTTCCCTCTTTATCTTGGTTGGAAGACCCCGGCTTCCCGGCTTCGTAGTTGCAACGCAATTAAAATTCAGCCTTCATTTGGTACCTATTCGTTCCCTTTGACTTGCTACTTGCTACTTGCTCTCTCCTTTCCTCCTCTCCATCACCTTCAGCACGTCCGCCGCGCTGTTGACATCGCCCTTCCTTTTCTTGCCTCCCCTTTTTCTCCTTTCCTTGCCCTCGCCTCCTCCTTCAACCTCGCCTCCATCTCCATCCCATACACTCAGCTTCACCCTCCTATCTTCCCCATCCTCGGCATCCCCAAAACGGCTACTACCAAACTCCATGTCCATATCATCAGCATCACGATCGTGGGACTCCAGCATTTTTTTGCGTCGCGCGATTTTGTCTTCGTTGCCCGATTCCGAGGTCGAAAATGGATGTATGGCAGAAGCTTTTTTCAGCGCAGCGAGGATTGTGGCGTCAGCGAGCGGATCCTGCCCTCGGTCATCCGTTCCATCTTTATCTTCCTCAGTATCACCAAAGTAATTCCGTTTTCGCCGCAGTGGAGATTGTTGCTGAGGCATGGGGGGTGGGGGCATGGCGGACGATGTCTCGGATTCTGACGCTTTGGGGGGCTGTTTCGAAGGGCCAGCTACAGAAGCTGCTTCGCCTTCCCCGTCACTATCGTTGGAATAATCGTCATCGCCCTCAACGCCTCCCAGAGGATTGTAATCGACGCCTACGCCCTCGAAGATGTCCCCTTCGTCTTCGTCTCCGGCGACTACGGGGGGTGCTCTGGCCGTAACCTGCATACCAAGCGGTTTTGCGTCTTTGTCTGGCATCAACAAGCCATCATTCTCATCAACCTTCGCTTTTTTCACCTTCCTCTTCACTCGACCATCCTCACCAATGGTGATCAAGATTTCTCGGCCCCGTTCATCTTTCTCAATCCTGGACCTCTCTTTCTTCTCACCAACCTTGAGAAATCTAGGTCCCAAAGCCGGCTTCTGTGCTTGCTTCGCGCTCTCAGCTGCTGCAAGTCTGGACTCCTTGAGCTCTTTCAGTATGTCATCTCGTGTTCGCTTTTGGCCTGCAACAGGAGCGTGCCGGGCCATCTCTCCCTTTTTCAAACTCTGCTCTCTCGCTATTGGTTGGATTGCCTTTTCTTCAAGTTTCTCAAATTCGTCATCAACATCAGCCTCGGGCGGGGTTTGCCGGTTTTCGTCGTGATCTTCGTCTGCCTTCGTGGAATTTCCTATGTCCGCAATGACATCTTCTCCTCTTCTGACCCTTTCCAAAAGCTTATAATCTAGTCCCTTGACCAAATGCACATCCTTCACATCACCGCCCACAATCTCGTCCCTGAGAGCTTCAAAGGTCGCCAGATCCATCTGGCCCAGCTTGACCATGGCTTCCAGAGCTTTAACACGCGTAGCCTTGTCATCCTCCTCACCCGAAGTCCGAAGCTGTGTACGATCTTGGTAGCCTGAGTGCAGCTTGGTACCTTTGGGTGCCGCAGAGGAACGGAATTTCTTCGTGCTGGAAGGGTTCATTTCGGCATTGCGTTCGGCCAGCTGGCGCGCAAAATCATTTCCCGATAAGCCTATTACTGAGCGCCTGATCTAGGTCAGTACCGCTCGTAGATAAACAACCCAGTGAGATGAGATGGTGGGCTGGGATTACAGTACGGTGTCATGGGTATGTTAGATCGCATGCGAGAACCGAGGGCTGGAGTCGCACCTCCGCCCTTCAAGCTGGAACCCATGGAATGTTCCTTGGTCTTGGGAGCTGTGGGTGTGTCCAGCACCAGTCGGCGGAATTGGGTGTTATTCATGATTTTGTAGTCGAGCGATTGCAGACTCAAAGTTATTGTGTGACTGAAGGGCTGTCGTTATGTTCTAATCTCGATTATAATGAGGAAATACGAGTCTTGCTCTCAGAGAGGCATCGCTAGTCTCATGAATGCAACGATGTTAGAAACAATGTGAAGCCTTTGACATTCTGACGGTACGAGGGCACGAGGGGGAGCTAGTGCGGGAACTCCCGAGCTATACCCGAGGCGCTCGCTGCGCTTCACCAACGGCAACAGTGATCTTCTCAATGAATTGTAATCCGGTTCTACACTGGCGGTCTCTCTACTGTCTTAAGCTGTGCTGATATCATTGGGGTAGCTCCTGTTAAAGCAAAGGATTGGCCTGCATCGGCTGTGGTTCGTGGATTGGCAGCCATGGTCGAACCAAGCAACTCAGTGCCTGCACAGCTGGTATGTCCACCATCCTTAGATAACAATCTCACGCGTCTGATAGCATGCAGCTGCGTCATGTTCATCTGGTTTCGAGCAACCCTTACCCCAAATTACCCCAGGTGCACCTCGACATTGCTGTTGAGTACCTGATCCAAGCTCCAAGGATCGTTAGAGAGGTTGCTCCAATGAGTTGGATGTACTTAGATTGCCCACCAGATGGAGAGGTTATGCTCGTCTGGCAGCCAAGTCAATTGAGGACTCAAGCGGCGAGCGATGGATTTGTATGGGCAGACGCGGAGTCGGCGTTCAGTTCTGAAATGAGGGGATACGTATGTTTTGGCAATGTAATGATGCGACTCCTGTGTTGACCATCTGTAATTAGACAGTGGAGATGTACATTCACAGAAGCGGATACCGCCCGAACCTCGAATCGCTCGCAACCCACTGTCGGCGCCGATTTCGATTAACGCCGTCCCAAAACCCAGATCCCAGCGTGCCACCACCCGACCAGTCATTATGGATCTGGCATTACTCTCAAACGGAACCCCAGCATCGCTTCCCGGCGCACCAAATCCGAGTGAGTGAACAGGTGCGCCAGTCGTTGGCTGAGCGCGCGAATCTCCAAAAATTCGGTCAGCTAGTGCGCAAAGAATTCATGCTGCGTGATAGCGCGAACTGGCCTACCGTCAATCTTCCTGGCACTCACAATTCCTTGTATCCGCAGCAAGCCTCGGGTTATCCAGGCGATGTGATCTCGCACATAAGCCGAAGCCAACAACAACAACAACAACAACAACAACAACAACAACAACAACAACAACAACAACAACAACAACAACAACAACAACAACAGCAACAGCAACAGCAACAACAACAGCAACAACAACAACAGCAACAGCAACAGCAACAGCAACAACAACAGCAACAACAACAACAACAGCAACAGCAACAGCAACAGCAACAGCAACAGCAACAGCAACAGCAACAGCAACAGCAACAGCAACAACAACAACAACAACAACAACAACAACAACAACAGCAGCAGCAACAGCAACAACAACAACAAGCCTACATACAGCAGCAGCAGCAGCAAGCGAATGCAACCCAACACGGGGTTGGACCTTCACCAGCAAAGCGTCCGCGCCACGGGGGCCCCGGCCATGTACACGGATCAACTACAGCTATTCCAACCCCCGTTGTAGCACAAGATACCACATATGATGAGGAAGAGGGGACTTCCGGGGGGGATTATATGGATTTTCTCACTCCCAGAGATATCAGCCTTCATCGTTATAGACAGCATCATGAATGGCTTGAAGAAATCTTGAACTCTCCATACGATACATCGCAGATTATACCAGGCCAGCTTGGCCTCGGTAGGAAAGGCGAACTCGAGTCCCTCACTAGAGACTTCTTCGATGCTCCTATCGAGGCGACCCCAAGAGAAACCTTTCCCAAATCAAAAGGAGAGTCTCCCGTGGAGGATTCGGCCACTCCACGTGTTGGCAGGCTTGAGTCCGGGAAAGCAGAAGATTTTACGAAGCGGGCTACTGAGAAGATAGCTGAAATCAATGCAGAGATGGAAAAGCTGAAGCGTCAACATGCAAGACGGATGGCGAAGCTCAACAAGGGCCGTGCCTTCAAAGAGGCTGAGCAGAATCTCAGAGTCTCTACCCTCGAGATGATCAACGGTGAGGCCACCAAAGGCGATGCCGTGCAGCAACACCGAGTAGACGAACTTGCCGGAGGATTAGAAGCTCAGGTAGGAAAGAGTATTAGGTTAGTCAAAGATGTCGAATGCATAGACAAAGGCGGTCTCGAAGAGAAGTCGCAGGCCGAGGACGCCAAAGACCAGGACTACGATATGATTGATGCGTTTGGAAGTCGTGACGGCGCAACAGCTTCAGCGACTCCGTATCCAGAGTCGAGAAGCCCGGGTTTGGCTATTCCCATGGAGTCTGCAGACAGCACATCTAATGTTGTCCATAACAATGCACCAATAGCGGAGACTTTGAATGAAGGAGACGTCAAGATGGACGAAGTACAAAACACATCTGAATCTAAAGACACAACGGCGGAAGATTGGGTCATGGTGAACAAAGAGAACAACTCTACAGTCGGAGAAGACGTGCCCGAGATTGAAAGCTTTCGAGACAATTTAACCATGCCGCCAAGCACAGGCGGACCAACCCCGAACGACAATGCTACCGGCGATAGTGTCTCGGGTTTTGAGCAAGGTGCAGGGGAGGACGCTGGAGAGAACTTTGATGCCAATGATTTCGGCGAGGGTATTGACTTTGGTGATTTGGATACTGCAGGACAAGAGTTGTCCGGTTACAGTCCAGGAATGGAGAACCCAGGGCTTGACGACCGAGGCGATTTGACAAGTGAGGGCGCTTTTGGAGATTCATTCCAAGTTATGGACGAAGGTGCCGGGCAAGAAGATAAGACTCCTGGGGTTTGATTTGTTCACATCGTGTCGTGTCTCGGAAAACTTCCTTACGACAGTATCTTTTACTATGTTCCTCCACAACGTCCTCCTATACTATTTGCGCGCGGTAGGGACAGCCCTGATCATGAGACCCAAAAGATTCATAGAGAACATGCGGCTATGTATGATGGATGCGTATAGATGAGGAGAGCGTCATTATGATTTGGAATGCGTGCGCTTTTCTCTCGTCCAGGTCCTTCACTGACTCTAACCCATTGAAAGGCAGTCAGAATTTCAGTAAGAATTGACATTCAGTGGCAGGAGTTCGGCCGGCTTTCTTCCCCGTCTGAGATTGGTAGCAGTCTTAAAGTGAAAGAAAAACTTTCATCTCCAGGAATTTAGTCACCCCGCACGCAGCCATCGCCTCGGCTGTGCATCATCCAAGATATTCTTCTGCTTTGTAGTCATCAAGGTAATGCACAACGGGCCGTTTCGATTGAAAATGTAGATGACTCTCAACCATGTCAGCCGGCAACCCCGAACTTCGTCTCCACAGCAAATTCAAAGATCCATCATGCTTCTCCGTCATTGTCTACATGCACGTGCATCCGAAAGTCGAAGCACGGAGGCGTCCAATAAACTCTCAACGCATCGAAACAGTTTCGATTTCCTGGAGTGTCTCCGTCTGGTTTCGGACTAGGAACGCATTGTCGACAAAGCGGACCCAGTCAAATCATCCATAGGCTCGCACACTGTATCCATGCGTTTCTCGTCCGACACTCAGCGGAATGCCGGCAGCATAATTGCAGTAAAGATTTGAATCACAACGCTGCTGCTTGGGATCATGATATTGCGAACAATACGGGAGTTGAAAGGTATGTGAGAGACAATTCACATCGCAAGGATGTGTCCAGCGAATAAATGCCGAGTTTGAAAGTCTCGGTCATGAGCTGCGCGATCACAGAAGCGAAGAGCCAATGCGACTTCCCCAATCGGGGAGATTGCACTACGCATACGAACATCAGCAACGGAGGCTGAGACACCAACGAAAAGGAGACTGTGTTCGTCACCAAACCCCTGTTCGATGCGTTCCCTCATATACATCCTCAATCCACTCCCTGTTCAACGATTCGCATCTGTCTCGTAGACCCCCCAAGCCGACGGAATGCTCGTCACGCGAAGAACACATCCATAGACCCCAGCACCGTTCCCGACTCCTAAACTGGTAAAAAGATCATTATCCACCTCGTAGACCTATGCCGGTCCTAATGCCTATCCTATCTCCTCCACCGCATCGTAGTCCTTTCTCGGATCCCGGTCGTTGTCGCCGGCCTATACGGCGCGCGCGCATACGTCCTAGTGACCGTGGTCCTCTGCCGCGGGGCTGGATGCCGATGATGAGTCTCGACAACACGGATGGCTGGATAAGATGTGGTGGTGTGCCTACGGCGAGGCGACAGGACGGGCATACACATGATAGGAGTGGAGAAGGTTTGAGAAGTGTGGTTCCTTCTCGGAAGGGAGCAATACTCTTTCCTGCAAAATTCTGATCAGAATTTGCGCAGTGACGACAACTAATAACGCGACGATAGCAAGAGGCCTTACGATTAACAATTGAGAGCAGAAAGCAGAAATCAAGCGAGAGACTCAAGCATTTATGGTCAAGAGGCACGAGGGTAAAAATAAGAAGATACGAGGATGACGAATTACCTGGCTACCTTTCTTGGAAGGGAGGCAAAAGGCTTTCACACCTGTCACATGTCCAGACTACTCGCTGGGCTGTGCTTGCGCGTTCAACATTGAACCGCTTTTCCTCTCTCTCTTCTCTTCTTCTCTTCTTTCTTTCACAGTCACTGAAGAAGATCTCGCAATAGAATACTCCAGACTGATCAATGCTTTAAAAGGAAGGAATGATACTCGGAGTTCGGAAGCTATTTTCATTGACGCACTTGGAGGCCAGATGTCTCGCTATGATCTAGGCCTGGCAAGCGGCGTCTGCGCATGTCCATACTTCACCCTGATCAGTGGTTGTGCATTAAAATTTAAAATCCGAAAGATAGCGAAAGCACAGACTCCATGGGATGGTGTATATCTACCGGAAGTGTCAGCATTTGACAGCCATTATACGCCCTTCTGCCCTTATCAGCTTTCTTTTCTCCATCTATTCCCAATGAGATCCCATGTCAGCACATGCCACATTGAAGAACGGGTTAACATCCAATGATGTATAGATAGGGGAGTATCCTCGAATCCAATTGCTTTGCTATTGGAATCTGTCATGCCAAAATCGTGACAAGTGAACGTTGAGGAAGTCGGTGTGGCATGTTAGCCGACAACGCCGAGACATGAATTGTACCAAGACACAAGAAGTATACCTCTATCTGATCCCCCATCAAGTCTAGAGTGAGCGCCATTTTACGCTCGCGTAGCGCGGCTGAGAATCACGCCTTTTCATATAATTCGAAGATGTGGTTCTCCATACTGCTATTTGAGGGTCTCTGTTGAGAAACGAACAGTCTCGAGGACTCATTCAACCACACTGAAAGATTGACGTAGCAGTGACCACAACAAAGAAAAGCGTCGTACATAACATGCATGCCAGAAAGCTCGTTCCGATTGCACGACCACGATTGAGAAACTTGTCCTCAAGATTCGCTAATTCAGACGTTGAGCAAATTCGAGCACAGCTTTAACCGTCTCGCGCGAAGTCATCTTGCTGAGCCACAAAAGCGATATCCGCATAGAAGAGCTTACTGCCCACGAGCCATGGTCCGTCACTGCCAGCGCGGCCGCCATGTTCCCGTTTTCGGTGAGCCAAATACCCGTCTAAGACGCCTGACACCCGATTGACTTCTTTGACGTAGCGCTCAATGGCACTGGGCACTCATTTCGAATGAAATTTCTTGAACCAGACCGACTGTCCATAGTATGGGCCTTGTCCGGTTGTCTGGAAGTAGAGCCAGTGTTTCGCATGACACGACTCTGGTGGTCCTGGAGCAAAACTCAATCGGTGTTCCGTGTCGTAGAGCTCGATCAGACACTCGACAATGGCACCGGACTCGAACAGAGTAATACCGGTATTGGGGACGTGGATGGCTGGTAATCGACCGTCGGGGTTAATGGCGAGGTACTCAGGCTTCTTGACGTCGGAGAATGGGACGGGGATAGCTTGTGAAGGAAGGCCGAGTTCCCCGAGGACGATGGCAATTTTGGGTGGATTGGACCGCCTTGACCCCAGACGTTGATCGGTTTGAATTGTGATGACAGTCTCTCTTCTTTATGTTTTGGAAGCGAAGATGAATGCCAATGGTGAGCTGACTTGACTTGTCCTGGTAAATAAGAAATAAGGTACTTGTCTCGACAGAAGTGCAGATGTAGTTTGATGGATTGGAGAAGGATTATTATCAATGGACGTGAAGCAATGCCATGTACCCTATACTGTGCAATACACCCGTCAATGTCACCTGATCCAACAATCTACAAAGCACTCCCAGCGAAGAGAAAAGGTCCAGCATTTGCTAGCATTTGTAAATTCCGAAATGGAGGCTCGGGTGTCGACAAGGCCGGCTTTCTCGTTTCTCACCGGCTTTCTTCTATGAGGGATTAGCTCCTTGATTTGATTCGCTAGTCTAATGTATTTTCTATGAAGGAACGCTGAATCATTATCAAGTATGTTATGTTTCGAGTTGAAGAGGATGGTAAGATTACGTTACTTGCAGGTGACCATATACCTCTTCACATTAAGGTGGATAATTACCGTAGGATACAGAGACTAAGGAACTGCAGGTGCATTCAGCAAGAACCATGAGGCGAATTGGCTACTGCAGGGGAAGAAGCACCGCAAGGTACGATTAGGGACGAAGTGCATGTATAATTGATGGACTCCGAATTGGTCTGACAACACGTGTCTAAAATGGTATACCACGTATAAATGCGAGGGGCCATGGCAGAAGATGTCACTTCCATACAGTACCACTTCAAGTCTTTCAGCGCTGGAGTTGTATAGATATACGAGTAGGCCGGGTGAGGGTAAAGTGTTCATCCCTGGGAATATCTTTAGTCTGCGTCACTAGGATCAAAGACAAAGTGTCCGAGGTATCTACTGGTGATACCTTGCTGCCCCTCAACTCCCTGTCACAGTACTCCTCTGCATGATTTTATCTCCCTATGTATTTCCCCTCAGCAACTAAAGTATAGATCTGCTCAACGAGAGGAAGCAACGGCGAGATAGAATGACGGTAATTATAAGAGTAGCGAGATTGGTATGTAATTCGTCATCTACTTGTTGAAAACCTTGGTGGTGTAAAGTAGGTACGGTAACCTCAGGTACTTTAGGGATGTACGCGTGACGCTAAACATTTAGACTCGCTGTACTATAAGCGGAGCCGGGGTAATGACTGTACGAGTACATTTCTCTGCCAAGACATGCGGTTTGATTGCGGCCGCCCTTGTTATCAACGAGTCTGCTGACGCTCCATTGTGGGTCAGTACACTTTGCCTCAAACATTCGTCCTTGTAAAACTTATCTCCTCCGAACGAGCCACCACTGCAGGGTGCAATACCAATTACACCACTCCACTACCTATCGACTCTCAAGGACACTTTACCATGTCAGTATCTGTTGCCTAAGCTCGAGCTGCGCTGTCGCATGTAGCTCCGGTCCCTCTTTACTGACGCGGTCTATGTTCCTGCCAGGAATCGATCACTCTCCGTAAGGTCCAAGAAGGACAATGCCTCCACCACTGGAAGCTCAGGAAGCGCACCCAAGCACCGATTCACTATGGCCTCACTACGCGGTATGCAGCAGCCAGAGTTGAGCAAGAAGCTCTTCAAGATCATAAAGAGCGAGAACCACGCCATCGGTGCCTACGAATCAGCCAGCCGCGAGCGCATCTCCATCGCCTCTCAGCTGTCAGACTGGGGCGAGGCTACGGGAGATGACTCCGTTTCCGACGTCTCGGACAAGCTAGGCGTTCTTTTGTCGGAGTTGGGCGAGCAGGAGGATGTATTTGCGCAGAACCTGGAAGATTACCGCGGCATTTTGAAGCAGATCAGGAATACCGAGAGTTCTGTGCAGCCCAGCAGGATTCACAAGGCGAAGATCTCGGATGAGATAGCAAAGCTCAAATACAAGGAGCCTGAAAGTACTAAGATTGTCCAGCTTGAGCAGGAACTTGTCAGGGCCGAGGCACAGAATCTGGTTGCAGAAGCTCAGCTGACCAATATCGTACGTCTCTTGCGGCTACGCCACGAGGTTGACGTAGGCTAACAGCCGTTATAAGACCCGCCAGAAGCTCAAGGAAGCTTACGACCTCCATTTCGCCGCCACAATCGAACGTGCCGAGAAGCAGATAATGCTCGCCCGCCACGGACGCCGCCTATTGAACCTCCTTGACGATACTCCAGTAGTCCCCGGGGATACCCGTCCGGCCTTTGAGCACGCCCACCAAGCTCGCCAAGTCCTGAATGATGCTGAAGAGGATCTTCGTGACTGGGCACCAAATCTAGAACCGATTCACAGCTCAGCTACTGAGATGGGTTCCAACCTTATGCCGCCACAGGCCGGAACCGCAGACACAAGTGTCAGCGGACAAGAAGAGGAGTCGATGATTAGGGCAGGGGAGAGTAGTACAGGTCAGTTGGAAGCCCCGGCACCACCAGAACACAGGGGTTACGGTGAAAGCTCAACCGTCGCGCAGCCTGAAGCGGCATCTAGCTACTAGCTGTGACAGCACTCTGCTCCGCTCCGCTTCTGGGTGCAACGGCGATCATTAGAGGTGTGATTAGGGGATACTATGGAGTTCGAGCGAGATGACTCAATGGGCACGGTAGCTGTCTATTGTTGTAACGATGTCTGAACTTGCGGTCCTTTCCTAATACTGCACAATCCGTTGCCGACCATTCGTCGACGATTGTTCTTCCTTTGACCGAGAACCTTCTCCATAGGGATTTCTTTCATGCGTCGTAACGCTTGCTTATTTCTCAACCCTACCATTCGCATCAGTGAGAAGCCGGCGCCTGATTGTCAAGGAAAGCATGACCAGCCATGTCAATTTTTACATGCAGTCCAGAAACACTTTCTCCTGGGAAAGCTTAATGAAGCAGAAGTCGATGATTTCACGTCACCCATCCACCATTGAATTGATTTACCCCCGATGAAATCCTCCCCTCCTTTCTGCCTCCCATACCAACTCCGTTGCGCATCCGTCACTAGATTCAACCTCAATAATGTCATTTTTGACAACACAATCACTATACCGAGCAAGACTTATACCATGAATTATCTTAGGATATGCGGAGCGCCATGGTCCGATGTCTTCACACACATTACAGGAAATGTCTCATATATCGATATATGCATAGCTCCACGGTCCCAACCCAATGTAAATCTCGAGAACCATATGAACCAGAGCCAACCCCAAAGCCTCGATGCTTCCTAGGTCATGCAGCCTATCTTTCATAGTAGATCATCTAGTTACCCTACCTCACCCACCTTTAACGTTTGATCCTTTGTACACATGCAATGACCATGAGAACGAAGAGAATGATCTGTAGCAGCGTGTCAGTCTCTGTTCGGCACCGAGGGATGTGTCGCTCGACGTACTGCGGACACTGAAAAGCATATCCCACTCGATTTGGCATGGCCAATTGAAAACAACTTGCCCATCATGGGGCCGCCGATGAGCTTTGCGAGGATCTCTACCACGGCGACCGAAGTGAACAGTCTCGCATGGTACGCGTGATCTATGAGGGAAGTAGCGAGGCCCTGCAGCGCAGGCTCTTCACCTTCACTCATGCCGCATATGAAGAGCGCTGATGACCCAATTAGCCATTCATAGCAGTATCTCTCAAAGCCTTCACCTACCCAGGAGCAGCATCCAGCTGTGATATGATAGTTGCAACAGGACGAAGCCCGTCGCTGCCACCAGCAGAGACACACGGATGACGTTGAGATCGAGCATTTGCGCATGAAGTCCTCTCCGATTTAACACAGAAGACAACAGCGGTAGGACTACTATTGTTGCCAAAGACGAACCCCCAGCCTGGGAAAACCTCAACCAAGTGGTCTGGCTCAGTCCCCATTGGAAATTGTAAGAAGCATATTGATACACGAAAGCTTTGCTGATCATGGCAAGCGGCTTGAGAAAGAAAAGTAGGTAACAAAAGGGAAGTCCCGGCATTTGTATCAGGACGATGATGTCCCTCCACCATTCTTTATTCTCAGGACCTGGACCGGGCAGCCGATTATCTACGCACATTTCGGAGTCAGCGTTGCCTCTTCGCGGTAAATAGCTCAGTCGCAAGACATGTCTCGAGAGCAGAACAGGTCAATTTGCTCGCGAAATATGTCTTGCGACTCACTCTCGGTAACAACAGGAAGGAGCCTCTCCAAAATGTACGTACGGATTCCACGGGGAAGCTGCTCTGGAGGGGTAATTGTCCCTTCCCCCGAGTCGGTGCCAGTGAGCGTATCAGCGGCGCCAAGAAGAGGGCTCTTGGGAGAAGACGAGAGATGCCTCAGCGACTCGGGCATAAAGACGATGATCAGCAGACCTAGAGCCAATGCTCCAATAGCGACAGCAAAGGGCAGCCATATCCTTATGAGCATCAATAGACCAGACAGCGGTGGGGCTACCAATGTTGTCAAGTGGGGAATGCCTGCAAGAAGATACATGTATCTCGTCCTGGCGTTTGTCAGCCAATGTCATCACTGATACCCGTACTGGTGCAATATTACCTGTGCGATTTATCAACAGTGTCGGCAATGATAGTGAAATTCATTCCCTTAGCCACCCGTTGAGAGCCACCCACGCAGAGGAAGATTGAAGATAGCCATACGAGCTTTACCGGCAAGTTCGTATCAGCATAGCAGATGAATAGAATCCATAAAAAGCTGCACAAAGTCCCTGCACAACAGAGCGCAAGTACAAGCCGTCTACCAAGCCTGCCGAGCCCTGATCAGCAGGACCTCTGTATTCCTGGAGCATGAGCGTCATACCTGTCTGCGATTGATCCATAGTACAGCGCTGTCAAAAGCCCCGGCAATGCATCGAAGGTAAACTTGAGGCCTGTGAGGTTGGCCAGTTCATCCTGGATGGGAGGGATTTTGCACAGTCCCTCGTCGATATCTAGCGCAGTGAGTCGTAGGTGCACGGATTGGTCAGCGTAGTATCGGTTGCAAATGGCCTGTTCGAATAGTTTGATGGTTGGGACTTCAACCATATGTTTGGCGAAATAGGTGCAGAATTGCAAGGCAAATGTACAAATAAGAATAGGATTTTCCACCAAAAAGGTCTTTACGGCAAGAATCGCACGGACGGGCCATTGCCACACTGGATAGAGAGCGGGGGACTGAGCATGGCCATGGATTGGTGGCAACAGAGGCTGGCGCTCATTGTCGGAAGAGAGAGGATTCATCCCCATTAATCACAGCAGTATGGAGATGGAGACGCTCCCATCTTTGGATTTGGACTATGTACAGAGATGGAATAGCGATTGTTGGATCAGGCAGGCGTAGGTCGCTGGGACAAGAGTCGGGCAGTGCAGGTTGCAATAAAGGATGAACGAGGGTACAACGGCTGGACAAAATATAAAGTAGGTATTGTAGGGAAAAAAAAAATAATAGTAGGTGATTTATTCCGACATGAATCATTTATACAAATACTCTGATGATATGCAGAATGGTAGTTATGTATATGTGTAAAATGTATATGATATGTACCTTACCTTGCAGACAAAGAAGGCAGCCAATTAACTTCCAAGGATCTCGTAAGGCTTAGCGCATCTTCTCCACCAAGCACCTCCATTCTCTACCTCATATACGAGCTTCTTCTCTCACCAGAATCTTCTCAACTCTCCAGAAATTGACAAGACGAAAAGCAAGATGAGCCACCCCCCCCCCACATTTCTTATCTTTGCGTATGACAAGTACCTTAATAGCCGCGAGCTGACTACATGCCAATGCCTGCCTCGCCCAATACGTGAGCTTGAGCTTGTTTACTGCTAGCCGCTGGCTTCGAAGAGAATCATGTTGCTGCTGAAAGGACTTCCTGCATGGCTTTGTATTTTGGAAATAGTGTCTGCGATAGGGTCTCTTCCATTGGAGTACAGGCACGGCTCAAATGTGCTCTGGCTATCTCCTGACTTCACCTTCCAAATTGTCTACGAACCCTTGTCATCCATGCAGGCTTAGCACCTTTGCTCCCATTGGACTTCATTTCGCGATTCTTGCTCTCGCACACTTTCTTTCTTCAAAGATCGAAGACATGGATCGGAAGGAACGATGCCAGACTGACGACCAACATGATGATAGTTCATATACCGAAGGGTCGTGTATCCTACAATCCTACCTTCTTGACAATTCTCCCTTGCATATGACTTCAAGGACGGCACTCCAAACCTTACAATATGTGATCTGCAGTGACTGCTTTTGGCATCGGCTTTACGTCTTGCTTTTGTTTATCGGAACTGCTACAGTATTTGACGAAGCAGACACAGACTGGTTGTACCACCGGAGGTTCAATCGATGGTTTGCAGTGTACGAATCTGCCTGCGGAGTGCTTAGATTGGAGATTGCTACTGTTTTTGCTGTATATCTGGCTCGCTAAATAAACGACACCAGGCATGCTACACAGACCGGAGTCAGGTATCTTTACACGAATTGAGGAGTCATGGCATGTCCGTCGGATAGCCCTCCTTGCCGTTTGGCAAGTCTCTTGGTTTCATCTTCCTACAGCTGCATAATGCCGACATGGGCAATCATCACGACAATTCCGACCACACACCCGTTACCACAACAACCGCTCTATCAATGTCTGACCACACACTCACAACTACTACAAACTCAGTCTCAGCAGCCCGGATCACTCGTTCCCTGCATTTCGTATCACACCCATGACGACCCGCTGGCGGACATACCGAGAAGTCAGCAGCATCTAGTGCTTGGTGGCAAGGAGCATATGTGGGCTGAGCAAATTGACGGAGTCAATCTGGATAACAATCTCTGGCTGCGTGCTGGGGAGGTCTTATCGAGGGGTAAGGGGTAGTCAACAAGAATGTGACGAGGAGAATTGCTGAGATGAGAGACTGGCTTGTTGCGTCGGGTATTGCGGCTGGCACAGGTGACGTGGTGTCTGATGAGTCCTGGTAACTGCAGGTAATAGGAGAGCCGCTGGGTCACATTGCTTTTGAGAAAGCATATTCCAAACCCGTTTCTTTATTTGCATGCTTTGCTGCCTTCGCTGTGCCATGGCCGCAAGCTCCAAGATAAATACAAAAGATAAACATCCACAAAGATCGATCATACTGCATTCCTCACTCATATCGAGTCATGCCCCCGATTCCACAAACGCCACGCCAGACTGTAAGCCTTTCCCAATTGACCTTCCGTATTTCCCACCTCGGTATGAACGTTACACAGAAGTTCCCCAAAGCCACCCATACGTTTCCATTGCTATTCCCAACAGCCTCATCAATGCGGCTGTACACGAGGCTTCTTCTCCTTCAACGCCTTGAACTCCGCCAACTGCGCCGAAATGTGCCCCAGCACATCGTCCATCGGACAGGCATGCTCAAGCAAATTATGTGTGCTGAATGGCGTCACCATATTCCTTAACGCAAGCGTAGATACACATGTCTATGGAGAAGTCAGCATGAAGGATCCATTTGTCACAGGCTCAGGATCACTTACCTCAATCCTTGTAACCTGGTGTTCAAGATAGCTAACCAAGAACCGATCTGTCACCTCACCTCCTCGATTCTTCATTCTCTCAAGCACACTCTTTTCCGGTTGCTTCAGGCTCGTTGCTCCCGGGCTCTCGAGCGCACTACACAGCATTTCCAGTCTCAGACTGATGTTCCACAGCCCCCATATATATTCGGTGTCAAAATCTAGCACGCTTCCAGGCTGCAAGCTAGCAGGCTCGTTAGAAGCTGCGGCAGCTTCAGCATCACTGCGCTGTTGTTGCGCGATGAGACGACCGGCAAGCGAATGCGGGTACATCAGGTAGATCAATTCGGGATTCTCGAGCCCTTTGAGTTTTTGAGTGCCAAGGTCTTTGACTTCGAAACCCTGGGAACTAAGGGCCCTCAGCTCTCTGCGTATTGATTGGCCCAGTGGATCTTCGTTCAGCGAGTCATCCGAGCCAGTGGACCCAGTCCGCTCGGGGTCAGCAAACGCTTCGAGGGAACGTTGGATCTCGGCTATGTAGTCCTGCGAAACGTAGATCTGGCCGCCGTCTGCTGCGCCCGAGATCCGAGCTGCTCGATTGACCATAGGCCCAAAGTAATCCATGCGCCGAGTGACGGGATCAGGTTCGCATACCGGTTCGCCCCAGTGGATGCCCATGCGGACTGATAGACCACGATAGATGACGTTTTCATCCCCATCCAGAACCTCTGCGCAATGTACGGTGTTCAGGACTTCAGGGGGCCAATCTACTTCCAGGAGGTGTTGTTGAACGACGAAAGACCACAGCAAAGCCCCTGTTGCGGTGGGGAACGAGACCATGAATGCATCACCTTCAGTCTTGACTTCATATCCTCCGATGACCCTCAACTGTCGTCTCATGACTTCGTTGTGAGACTTGATGGCCGATCTCATAGCGACCGGGTAGTTCTCCCACAAAGTAGTCGAATTCTTGATATCCGTGAAAACCATGCTAAGATTACCCGTTGGGGCGTCGACTTCAGGATCGAGTCGTTGGAGTGTCGAATCATCAGGTCTATCTCGACCCTTTTTGCCACGTTTCGTTGCGAAGAACTGGTCATCTTGTGATTGGGACGGGCCCATCGAGAGGCTTTGGCCCCGGTAGCGATTGCGCTCTCGCTTCTTCAGATCGCTGACGCTAATGATTTGAATCATGATCTTGCCATTGGCCCCAAAGGCCATGGCTAGATCACGAAGCTTCTGGGCCGCCCGCATAAGGTCCACTCGTTCAGAGCGCGCAACGTCGACAACCATTTCAAGACTCATAACGTCCCATAGCTCTTTAGACGCAATCAATATCATTTCATCGGACTCCTTCAGCGAAAGGTGGTTGACGTTCGGAGCAGCCATAACAGCGGGCATCATCTGGATATAGCCAAACGCACGCGAGACGTCTAGTACATCATTGAGCTTGCCATGTCTTGACACATATCCTCCTGCGTCTCGAACACGCTCCCGCTCTCGTCGATCAGCTGGCTCGTGCTTTCGTGTCAAGATCTTATGACCCCCATCATTCTGCACGAGCATCGCTTGCGCGTCTCCAACGTTCGCAACATAGAGTTCCATATTGTCAAGAAATATGACTGTGGCAACGCCACCTGAGGTGAGGTCATCTGCGCTCAACGTATGCGCTGCAGTAGATCCTCGGTGCGACTTTTGAGGTAATCGATGTTCCTTTTCGTCGAGACTCTGGCTAGCCGTTGTTGCCAGATCTTTGTTCAAGGCGAGGAAGGTTCTCCGGAGGCCGTCGGCTGGAGTCTCCTCCTTTGGAAGTCTGCTTAGTTCTTCTATGAAATGATATTGAAAATTTTCTTGCAAGTACTTTGCAAGTCTTGAGCCCCCGCTTGACAGCGCTTGCCCATCAAACATTCCTAGAAGTGTTTCAGTCTCGTGACCCCGAAACTTCGGAACTACCATATCGATCGTGGATAAATGTTCGTGTTTTCCCAGGCTGTCTGCCATGCCATATGCCATTGATCCAGCCAACGACCCGGACGTCCGTACTCTGCGATCTTCTGTCTGGTCGGGAACCGAGGGAATTGTAAGCGTCACATCCATCAGGCCAAGAACTCGCAGGTGGTGAAGGGTTGTGAAATTTGTAAGATCAGCAGCTTCTCTGCCCCCATTTGCCGTGAAAGATCGACTGGGCTTGATTTCAAGACGTTTGTTGCCAGAGAAATTGAGGTATTTGAGATTCTTGTTCCAGTTCCAATTCCAATCATAGGGCCAATTAGAGACGTTGTACTTGAGAGCATTACTCCCGACATCCAGAACTGCGAGCTTCCGAACCTTGCCAAGTTCGGCGGGAAGAACTTGAAATTTGTTTCCGTTGATGTGCAGGATTTTCAGGGAGGACACCTCCTCAAGATCATCCGATGGAAGAGATGACAGCTCATTACCAGATAGGTAAAGCTCGTTGAGATTCGGCCATCGTCGTAAGGATCGCGGAGGAATATCATATAACTCATTGTACGAAAGGTTCAGGGTCCGAAGTTCAGGAAGCATGGTGATTTCGTCGAATACATCCTCTGTCAGTCTATTGTCTGCCAAGAACAGATGCCGAAGGGATCCAGCAAACGTGTTGTTGGATCGCTGTTGTAGATTGGAGTCTTTTCGGTGGATTGGGGTCGTAGTACCGTTCGTCTGTGTTCTCGACACCACTGATGCTTTTCTGCCTCCTGGCCCGTAGATGGAGACAATCGATCCCTGCCTGGTGCTCGACGCTGGTGAACTACCAACGCTCAGGAGTCCTCCGGAAGCCTGGCTTGGTCTACGATCCTGAAAGTCTTCTAGCTTGCCCAGCTCCTCGTGCTCATCAGGAGTTGACGCAGAAATTGGAGTTGAAGCAGGGACGGGTGTAGTCTCGGAACTGCTCGGCTGCGTGTCTGCTTGAGTAAGGGCAAGTGTCGTCGCGGGCTTTGGAAAGGACTCCAGAACGTTCGAAGAGACGTTTAATGTATCCAGGCGGTAGCAGAACCATAGCTCTCCAGGGAGTTTCTTAAGATTACATTCCCGAATATCCAAAAAGCGCAGCTCCTGGAGGTGGCCGATCGTCGCAGGTAAACTACTTAGCGGATTCCTTGCGATGCTCAGGTACTCCAGCCTTTGAAGCCTATGGACCTGGTTGGAGAGGGTCGAAAAATGATTTTTGTCCAGATTCAGTTTCGTGACATTTTTCATTCTTTCGAATATGCTGTCGTCCAATTGTGAGATCTTGGCTGAGGCGAGATTCAGCGACGTCAAACTTGGCACAGGTGCCTTGAAATCAAACCGGGTTATGGGATTGTGATCTAGGTGAAGTAGACGGATCTGTGCAAAGCTCCCTTCAAATTTGGAGATGACATTGTGCCCTACCATGAGTTGTTCCAGCTTAGGTAGTTCGGCAATAATATCAATGCTAGTTAATCCATTGAACCGTAGATCAATCTCCTTGAGGTTCTTGAGTTCCCTGAAATTTTCAGGGAAAGAGCCGTGGAGCATGTTGTTAGTCGCCCACAGTCTCTCCAATGCGGTGAGTTGCCCTATCTTCGGCAAACATCCGACAGTATTGAAGCTTATGTCGAGGTCGACGAGGCCTTTCAAGTCGCAGAGGAAATCCGGAAACGCTTCTATGTAATTGGAAGAGAGGTTCAAACTCCGTAGTGATTGGAATTGACCAAAGTATGAAGGGAGATGCTTTAGCTTGTTGTTGGACATTTTGATGCTCACCAGTCCTGGCAGTTTGTCTAGCTCTGCATGCTCAAGCTGCTCGAGGCGGTTGTTAGATATGTCGAGAACGGTGAGTCTAGTCGCGAGACTCAAGCTTGTTGGCAGCTGCCAAGCCTCATTGCTAATATATCGAATTTCTCGAAGGTTGACGCAGCTCTGGATGAAGTCTTTCGGAACGTCAAGGGCGAGGTTACGAGACAAATTGAGATACACGATTTCGGCGGCTTTTTGATAAAGGGTGATGGGGATAGTGACAAGGCTCCTCCCTGAAAGGTCAACGTGACTGAACTTTTGCATTTTACCGTGACCAGGTTCCGACTCTAGGCTGTAGTATCCGCTGAGCTTGGTTGGTACAAAGGTAAAACGGCAAAGATAGCTGTTGTCCTCCCGGCCAATTTCTTCAATCCTATCCTTGCTTTGGTATCCCGCTTGCTCGAGGAGCTTCTTTTGGATTGCGATTGGTCGTTCTCCTGGCGCAAGTTGTCTATGGAGGTCGTGTTTCCTCATGATGATCTGGTAATTGTCTAGATCATCTTGCAGGAAAGACTTCTTGCCCAGAACTTGTAAGATTTCCGAAGCCGTCGTGTTGACACCCATAGACAGGGTGGCGAAGGTCGAGTCAATTCGAAAGACTCGTAGGCAATGCGCGGTACCATCGTCTTCGACTTTTTGGGGTATCCCAGCGTCGTCAATTTCTCGTAACCGTCCTAAATTCTCGTCACCGACTTTCTTGACCGCCCACGAATCAGGAGCGTCCCAAGCTCCTGCACCACCCATTGTGTCGGGATCTTTGAGCTCTGTCCGAGGCTCCTCTGGGATAGGGTCTCCAGTAAAAATGCCGCCGTGGGGGGCAGTAGAAGTAGAAGCTGTTAAGTCAACAATGCCTGTCATGTCATCTAGATTTGTATCCAAACTGAACATTGAGTCACTGGCCACGGATGCATTGCGTGCCTTGTCGGCATTTTTACCGCTATGACCTTCGTAACTGATCCCTCGCTTGGGTTTAGGAAATTTCCCGTGGCTGTGTAGAAGTTTCGATCCGGTCTCCTTCTTCGATACTGGAGATCCCGAGTCTCCACTCATGTAGTCCGAGGCCTTAGCCGTCGAGCCGCTATCGAAAGTCGCAACACTTCCTTGCCTAGCTTCCCTCTGGTTGGCCAACTCTGATTTGTAGTTCTTGCTTTCGGTTGAAGTGTGGTGCAGAGAGTTTGTAGACCCAGACAGATGATGGAGCGGATTGAGTGATTCATGGTGACCATGCTCTCCTTTGTGCCTCCGAAATTTGTCTAGAAGGGAGCGCTTTCCTCCAGCCGCGCTATGGGCTGGTGAGCGCTGACTTGGCATGGTTTCGCTACGGCTGACAGCACTGTTCGAACTTGGTGTAGGACTGGTGCCACGAAGAGGTAGAGTGTTGCGTGAGGACATGGGAGAAGATATCGAGTCTTTCAGCATCCGAACATTAGACACGGAGTCTTGTCTGTTGGTAAGAGGACGAATCAAGTGGCCGCTTCCTGCATCCTTAGGTGGAGGCTTCGGAGGTTCCTCCTTGCTTCGAGTGTGTCGGTGGTGAGGGAGATGGAGTCGGATGTGGTGATGAGCATGGGAGGGAGGCTCGCCATCCGCATATCGCTGTTTATCGAGGCCAGCTGGCGCTTGCCTAACAGGGGCGTCGCCGTACTGTGAGATTTCCTGTGATATAATCTTGTTAGCGGCCAATCGCGACTTCCGAAACAGGACGGATATCTGCCGTTGTGGCTTTGAATGTCTGACATCGTTGCCACTAACAGACCCGCCCTTCAGGAACAACGCATCTAAATATACAATGAAAAGCAGATTTGAGTGCTAATACTGTAATATATACACTTGCTAGAACTGTATAAATTGAACGTATGGAGTTACTGGATGATCGATAGCGGCAGACCAGCGCAGTCTCCGTTGAGAACACGGGCATATGCGGAGTGCTTCATGCGCACAGAAGCATCTGAGCTTACCTTGAAATCTTGGAACAGCCATGGGACCACGTCACTTGAGGGCAGCGGAGTCCTTGGCCTAGAGCTACTCGGAGAAACTGGCCGTCCCTCATCCCGACTGGCATGTCTAGAGCCATGCCGAGAGGACGCGGTTTGCTCACGTTGCAGAGTGCTAGGTATGCTTGTGTCCGAGCTTCGTGGTGATTGCTGGCCTTCGTCACCAAAGAACCCCGCTGCCTTCTTGTACGGTGTACCCCTGCTTGTGCTAGCCTTAGATAGCGAGCTTTGGCTGTCAACAGTGGTTGCACTTGCTAATGACGGTGTTCGGTCGTTGGTCAGAAACATTGGATCTGGCGACTCGCTATCGGCGGTACGCCCCGAGTCCGGACGAAATGATGGCGATCGCTGAGCTTTTGACAGACCATCATTGAAGAAGTTGGAGGATGTGAGACCATGAGTGGACAAGGCCGGAATCCCATCGTCCATCCACGGTGCTATGTCGGCATTTGGAGCCTCTGTTAAGGGCGGGCGCTTTGACACGGAGGGTACGGGTCCCTTTGCCGCCTCCGACTTTTCCTTCTCTTGATGGTAGTCCAGGTATGTGCCTCTGATCGCATCGGCAGGTGGCGCGTCGTCTGGTGAGTCGGAGAAGAACGTCCCATTGCCTTTAACGATCGACGAATTCTTAGCGGCCCTGAATGAAAATAACCGTATTGTCAGCATTCATTACCTGACCCAGCATACACCTGGAGTATGGTAGAACATGAAGAGAAGTATGGCGAGCAGGGTCCCCTGGTGATGAAATTCCTAGCCTGCCTCATGTCTTTTGTGGGCTACTCGCGATCATACTCTTTGAAAGAGCTCGCAGTCGTGGGTTTCGAATATTCGTGTTGAAGCATGACCAGCAGTCGGCACAATTCTAACAGAGTGTATGGCTAATCCAGCGTGCAAGCGGATGGTGGCCTGATAGAAACGAAGGCGGTGGCATTGACTGAGGCTGACTTACAAGTCCTTCTGGCTAGTACGAAGTTGCGGATGTACTTTTCTCGAGCTCGCCTCGGGTCCCCCCATTATCTTGTCATGCAGTCGCAGACCGCCTTTCTTAAAGCTCTCTGACGCATTCTTGGTCGTTGAGTTGTCTCTCTTGGTCATCGTTGCGAGCAGTATGGCGGTAACGCAGCAACGAACTAGGGTGGCAATTACGCGCAGAAGCCAGGCCCAAGTCTGCGGAGAAAGTACAAGCACATTGAGCGGGATGGCCTTTATGCCGGACAAGCGTGCCAGTCGTTGCTGCGGGAAAGCGGGCAAAGAAAGATTCTCTTGTTGGTGAGCATCCGGCTGCAGAAGGCCAAAGAAAGGTGACTCAGTGCAGCCTGACCGGATTGCTACAGCTGATGCGATAAGATAGGAGAATGAGCTGGAGAGTGGCCGTACACTGAATGCAGAGCCTGCTGGCATTTGGAGGAGTTGGCCGCAGACACCAAATGTGGAGAACAAGCTTGACCCTGTTCGGCTCTAGCCACGGCATGAGCGCCAACCTCACATGGAAAAGCAAATCGCCTCGATCCTAAAGTACTTACAGTACTGTATTTAGAGAACTCACTCAATGTGCCACCGGTGCCAGGCGCGCTGCCAGAACAAATTGGCATTTGCGGTGTTATGATCCCTTGTGATGTTGACATTATGAGTACAAAATACAGATACGAGGTTCATGGCCCATGAAGCACTCTGTCTGGACTGTTTCTACACATTGATTGCTAAGTTTTCTTGGCTCGATACCTATGAGTACATTAAGACTGCCACTTCTTCTGGCAGCTTGCCTGATGCTTCACCAACCCAATCTTGTATTTTGAAGGTAGGAAGTCCCCTATTGTGGGCCCGGCAAGCTGTCAAACAAACTGAAAGTTTGCGTCGCCAAACCCCCATGCTGCCCCCTAGTTTCACTTCGCTTTTGGGCATCAAAGCCAGGATTATTTTGATTCAGGACCGAAATTCTTCCCAAGAGAGCCTCAAACAGCTCAGAAATTTCCTCGTCGATAGCTCTTTATCAAGCTTTGGAGTAGATGTACTATTCCATTGCCCTTTGTTCTGACGCCATGCGGTTGTTGGTAGTACTCAGTGACCCATGACTACCATGACACTGGCCCAGGCTATCTGACATTGAGCCTTCCCTTCCCCCCCAAATTGAAGTGCAGATGGAAAGGCGCTTACTAAAGTCTAGGATAACATGGCGCAAAGCGAAAAATGGTCGACGCAGCTGCAAAGGTGTGTAAAGAAAAGCCAATCTCAATCATGCTTTCAAGTCAATCAGGCAATCTGCTCCAGAGATGGCTTCACAATAAGGAATGCTAGCACTCCTGTCCTCAGCTTGACTACTCTTCGAAATCGCATGCGCAACAGTCGCAGCATTGTCATAACTTTTACGGTGCTTCTACTCTGCACTCTGCTTCGAACGTCGCTGTGATTGCTCAGTCGTTCCCTCGTGCGATAACGACAACATCAAATCCTTTGAGATACTGATCATCTAAATTCTGTATGACCATAGTACATTGCGTGTCGGGCATTCGGAAGATTTCGCACCAACGACGATTCTACGCACGAAATTTATGGCTCTTCCGCTGCACCAACACATTGTTATGCCGCTACAGGTTCCCGAAAGAACATTCCTAGGGACTACACGCGCGTGCGACAGTGACCTCATAGTCACACCGTCCCTGTAATGATGGGAACGCCGCCTCCCAATATCCCACAAAAGACCCCACATGACCGTCCCATCACCAAAGGCATCTACCCCACAGACCTCGTGGGACTTTATGCGTTTACGTTCCGGACGCAAAGAATGTTCGGGCCTGAAGAATCTGATATAAGGAAGGGCTCTGAGGTACCACCACTGTGCCAACGTCACCAGGGTTCGTGCCAGCGGGTAGCTAATTCCCTGCAGCGTCTTCAACAATTCCAGCGGCTGCTGTTCCTTCTGCCCCTACAACGTCAGTCTTGGTCAAAGACAAGAGCGCCTTGACGGCACCTCGAATAGGCTGCTGCTGCGTTGGCTGGACGCTCGGACTTCTAGCTCCTCGAAGCCAAGACTCGTTGTCCAAGGTGGTGTTCTAGCAAACACACCCACAAAGTACCCAGCCACTGTCTCGTATGGAGTGACCGTTATCTCATACTCGTATGCATTCTCTGACTCGTTAATCTCAACCACCGCCTCGCAATTTCCAACTTCTGAGACCGACAGCTGATTCGCGACCTCAATAACACATTAACGTCAACAACGACTGCCTCATCAACTCGAACAACGATTTTGAGGGCTGCTACTATCACAACTCTAGCTCGCAAGACAATTACGTCTACGTCATACTTGCTCAGTCCTGACAAGCTTGATATACTCATGGACGGAAATGGAGGGAAAGACTGATTTGACAGCTTCTTGGTAGCTAGCGTCGTCCACAGGTTCCGTCCTGAGACGCTCAACATACTCAAAGATTGGGGACTCAACATACTGAGTGATGGATCTGGAGGGGCCAGGAACGACTCTAGGATGTCAAACCTTCCCTAGGAAACCCTCAAAGACCTCCCAGTATTCATCTGAGTAGAAATGTTTTTCTTGGGCGAAATCCCTAAGCTCGAGCTCCCATGAGCGAAGAGATGCAAGTAGATTTTCTTCATATAGATCCGAATCTGTCTAGTACATCGACAGATGTGCCGCGTACCTGAAGTTCGAGCGAGTCGTGGTTTACTTGTATTTCTTATCGCGAGGTCGGGACGAGTGGTATAACCTCCATATCTGCAATCGAGCCGCTGTCTTTGTCTGCCCAATTTCGCACCCAGGATGGTAAATTCATTAGCACCGTGTCATTTCGACAACCAATGCCAGCTCGAACCAACAGCTTCATTCCATTTCCGCAATTAATTGTAGATAGAGAACATTCACAGTAGACGTTCTGAACTGACTTGATGTAATCGGGTGGAGAATAGTGCTGCATATTGTTGGCTATGGCACGTAGTGAGTACTCTTTATCACGTGGGTCTGACTGAGCATTGACAATCTCGAAATTGGCAAGGAGCTCGATCAAACTGTAGTCTATACTTCTTTTCTTCCAATGTTGTACATAGAGAAGTGTTTTCCAGCTGGTTGCGGTATCAGAAGTAGCTAAGAGGGTCGGCGTGTCTCCGTCGAGTTGTAGTTCCGCCAGAGCATTGGGTAGACAGGCTTAGCAATGATTTTTAAAGGAACAACTTAAAAGGAATTACGCGTTAAGTACTATAGCTAGAATTCTTATACTTCCTTCTTCTTTGCCTTAATATGACTGCGACTATTTGTAGTTGGCGGGAGGCGTTGATTGATGACCTACTTACCGAGCCTCGCGGGTGACAAAAAGATACAGGATACTAGAACAGAGAGATACATAGAAATTTATATGTGTGTCTCCGCGCAGTAGTCTGGCTTGGCGTTCCATTCTCTTTGTCACCCGCGAGCGGAGTACTTGCGCCATTGCCAAGCTTCTGGCTGGCGGGAACGGGCGCTAATGCAACCCTAGCTTCAAGTTTCCGTGCCGACGGATTTCTAAGGTAGTAAACAATTGCCAGCCCTCTCTTTTCTCTGTCGCTCCTCCTTCCGAGCTTGCATTCTACTTTTTACATGATTATCTCTAGCACTCCAGCCACCGAACATAATTGCTCTAATCACATCTCGCAAAAATATCAAATCTCACGTACTTCTACTGCACGCGTCACCGCTAACAAAATCCAGAAGAATTAAAGGAGTGGCTGGAGGAAAGTGCGGTGGTGAGGATAAATTTGGAGTTCTTGAAGAACGACCAAATAATTCGGGAAGTCACCCCCACCACTCTGCTTTTCTCCTGCGTCCTCTTCCCATTCTTTCTTCTCTACTCGCTGCATCCACTACCCATCATCACTATCACCATCATCATCATCATCATCATCATCGTCATCACCGACTGCGTTATTGCCTTCATCCCATATAATTACCATCATCAGTCGCTGTCGCTAGCTCATAGGTTCCACAATCAACGGCTCATTGCCGACAAGACCTGCCTTGCCCAACATGAGATCGCAAACATTCCTCGCCGCCGTCATGGCCATCTGGGCAGCTGCCCCGGCTTCTGCTCAGACCTACACAAATTGCAATCCTCTCACAAGCAGTAAGTCCTTGACTTCGGACCAATTGGGGCCTCGTGCTAACATTGCATAGCCAATTGCCCAGCCGACACAGCACTTGGCAAATCAGTAAACATCGATTTTACCTCTGGGGAATCCAGCTCCTTCACCCCTCAGGGCAGCCCAACATACGATTCAAATGGAGCCTCATTCACAGTAGCAAAAGCTGGTGATTCTCCACTCATTGCATCAAAATGGTACATCATGTTCGGCCACGTCGAGTTCGTGATCAAAGCGGCTCCCGGGGTTGGAATTGTGAGCAGCGCGATCCTACAGTCAGACGACCTGGATGAAATCGACTTTGAATGGCTTGGATATGACGATGCCAATGTTCAAACCAACTACTTCGGCAAGGGTGAGACGACCACCTATAATCGAGGGCAGACAAATGCCGCCGCCAGTAATCACGATGATTTCATTACGTATGCCATCGACTGGACAGCTGATCAAATCACCTGGCAAGTCAATGGAGCCACTGTCCGGACTTTGACTCCAGACTCAACTGGAGGATACCCATATCCTCAGACTCCAATGATGATCAAGGTTGGCTCCTGGAGTGGTGGTGACGCTTCAGCAGCCCTCGGTACTAGACGTAAGTCAGGATCCAGGATCTACGTCTCGATATGATGAGACTGACGACTTGCTTCAGAATGGGCGACAGGTCAAGCTTCGGGCACCGTTTACACCGACTACACCTCCGGACCCTACTCCATGGTGCTTAAGTCTATTGCCGCCACTGACTATTCGACTGGGAGTCAGTATGAATACTCGGGCACAGACGGTACATGGCAGTCCATCACCGCTGTAAATGGTAAAGTCGTTTCAACTGGCAATGGTGATACTGCAATCAACGCCGACGTAGCGCCGTCAACCACCGGGACTACCAACGGCCCAATGCCATTTCAAGGAACTCATGCTGAGTCGTCATCGTCCGTCATTCAGCCAAACGCGGGCGGATGGACCCCAACTAC